AAAATAGACGCTTAATATTCGTCAATTATGACCACGTGATTCTTTTTGTCGCTGAAACAGCTGGTTTGAGCAGCTCGTGAAAATTTACCTTTACTCTTCTAAATAATTGGGAGTCGATTGTGCATTTTAGGAGTTCCACACATTAAAAGGAACAGGGAACAGAGAACAGAGAATAAGAATTTCAACCTATTAGAAATTATATATTGTGGAATACACACTGCGAATTCCACAATACATGATTATTGATTTCTGATAGGTTGAAATTCTTATTCTCTGTTCTCTGTTCCCTGTTCCTTTTATTGTGCGGAGCCCCTTAAAATGAGATGAAAATAGGTCTGTTCACTGTTACCTCAAATCCCCAAAAATTCATGCACTCAAACCAAGATAAAAACAATTTAGGCCTCGAGCGTTGAAAGGAGAGAATGCGAAGATTCCGAGTGCAGAAAGTGCAAAGTACAAGCAACGCGAACAAATCTGTTTACAAAGTGAGCAAATTTACTAGTGGTCTGTTTTCTGTTCCTGGGTATCAATCATGAAACTTTATCCCTAGGATAAAAAGTGAAAAGTGAAAATTTTAACCATTGAAGTTAATGGAAAAATTTTTCACTTTTCATTCTAGGAAAAAAATTTCATGATTGATATCCTGTTCGCGTTGCATGAAATCCCCAAATATTTTTGCACTTAAAATGAGATACACATTTTGCCTTAAAAATAGAGAAAGCGAAGGGCCCGTATTCAGAACGCGCTTACAACGATGTTAGCACGCTAACATACTATACTTTACGTCATGCATATTATAGAATTTCAGAGATAAAAGTGCGCTTTTATCGATAAAAGCGCGTTCTGAATACGGGCCAATATGTCGAGTGCCAAAAGTGCAAACAACGCGAACAGACCTAATGAGATGCAACCGGTGTTATGCATTCTGATTCGCTGTTGCAATCACGTGACTTGGCAGCCAAGTATAGTACTAGTGACATATTTCTATTTTATTTTATCCTATACATTCTATTTCACATTATCCTACACGTCTTATATTAGGTCTGTTTTTTATTGCTGCACTCTGAACCAGTGCAATAAGTTAAAGTGAAACAAACATATATTTGTTTCACTTCAACTTATTGCACTGTGTGTACTAGTTCAGAAAGTGCGGCAATAAAAAACAGACCTATTGTTTGACATAGTTTAAAGGCAGTTTCATAGCATGTCGGCCATGTTTAGTACTTTCCTTAGCACCTTTGTCATACTGACTTAAGCCGGTTGCGCCTCTCTGATAAATCTAGGACTCTAGGCTGTTTTAGAACTCTCTTTTAGCGTTTTCGGTCCGACCGGGTTTGCACCAACCTGGGTTGGATTAATGGCGTTTTGCGCTCTCCTATTGGTAGAGCGTGTGACATCAACCAATAGGAAAGATTAATCCAACCCAGGTTGGTGCAAACCCGATCGGGCCGAAAACGCTATTTCTCGTTTTCGACAAATATCAAATGTATATCTATTACATTTTAAATTCTAAAAGTGTACACTAGTTCGGCTACAGAAAACAGACCTTAGGTGTCGACCAATAAAATCATAAATATTCCAGTGAATTAATTTTTGTAATTTTTATCTCATTTCAAAGAATATCAACCACGTAACTTTTTTCTTAGAGCGGAAATATGAA